TGACGCCATAGGTGTCTCAAATTAGCAAACGCGACCCGAACCTTGCAGATTCATCCGTCACACCACAGTCGAGACTAATACCACTTCCACAACTTCGAGTGCTTCCCCTGGATTATAAGTGGCACGTTCAGTGACTACACGTCCAGGAGCATGAACTTACACTTCGTGGGTGCAAATGCATACCAAAGGACGTTATGACTTTGGTCAGTTCACCCAAGAACATGCACCACCCCTTCGATGACGAGAACGATTTCGTCTGCGTATTTCAGATCTACAAGGTTATTGTTAAAGGCTATTCGAACACCGGAGTTTTGGAGACCTTCCAGCGTTCGTCTCATGATTTCATCGATCACAAACTTTAATAGGAATGGGGAGAGTTGGCATCTCTGACGGACACCACTTTATTTGCGGAAGATTTTGGAGAGCCCGGCGTACACTCTCGTCCGTCCGGAAGTCTGGGAATACAAACAGCTTATTATGTTCAAGAACTTCCTGGGTATTCCTTGGTGAGCACGTGTGTCAAGCCAGACAAGTCCAGCTTATTATGTTCAAGAACTTCCTGGGTATTCCTTGGTGAGCACGTGTGTCAAGCAGATCAGACCAGTCAACCGAGTCAAAAGCGCTTTGGATATCGAAGAATACTTGAATTGTGGATCCCTTATACGTATGGCGTCGTTCTAACACCTGACGAAGTGTGCGTGAGGTCAACACAACCCCTACCAGGCCAGAATCCCGATTGCTCCTCTCAGGTCAGTATCTCACGAGCCACCGTAAAGCGACGAACCACAGGTGACGCCATCTGTTTCGTTACGACAGGGATTAAGCTGACCCCACCGTGGTTGCTATACTACGAGCCCCTTTTTTGAAAACGGGCACTATCATCGACTCTCTCCAGTTGTCTGGGACAGACTCCTTATCCCAAATGCAAGCAAACAGATCAGACAAGCGTAAACTGAGGACTTCACCCCTATCTCGGAACGATGCGGGTGGGAGATCATCCGGACCAGAGGCTCGGTGGCGCTTGAGAGGACATATGCAGTCGTAAATCTCCGATGCCGTATGTGGTCCAACGTTCACCGACTAGGGTTCCACTTCACCTGTGGACCCTAGATGAGTGCCAGCTGGTGGTCACGACAGTTGTTGTTCGAAGTACTCAGCCCACCAGTCGAGGTGTTCTTCTTTATTCGATGATGGTTTCGCTCACACGCGGTTTCCGGGGACAGATCGCACGGATCACCTGAAATAAACTTCGGGCAGTACCCGCTTTCTGCTCGTCTTCCATCTCTNCTCTTAAATTTCATTGGTTTTCCGTGTCGGCGTGCACGCTCTTTCTCTTGACGTCTGATAGTTGGTGGGGCCAAGTTATGTTCGAGATAGCAGGGAATATTTCTCCGAGATTTAAGCTGTACTCCTGTTTGGTCTGATATCTAGTGCTTGAGTGGGCCTGGTAGCGCCGTGCCACAGGCAAAACTTTCAGCAAAGCGCAAAGCGGTGGCGATCTCTTCCCAGTATGAATTCACGTCTTATGGTGGAGCAGTTGGAAGAGACTCTAAAAACCGATTACGGTGAATTAATCCAACATCCGGATCTGCCACTCTCTCAGTTACCAAGCAACTTGTCCGCACCTTAGGCAGCTCAGGGAAACGTGGGGACTCCGGGTGTGTGCGTGGTCAGAACCCGCAAATGTGTTCCAAAAAGACCGGCAGTCAGTTATCGATCCGCGTCATCGGTAACTGATGGCAATGTGGTCGATTTGAGTTTGTGGCCGGCCTGCCGCTGGAGGACACCGTGTGGCCAGACGACTTCGGCTGTTTCGGAAGTTCGTACTGTATAAAAACAGCCTGCGATCAGCACACAGCTGAAGCAATCGTTCCCCATTGTCCGTACGTACCGAGTCCAGTCCATGTCGAACTCCCAATTGAGTCTCAGATGCACTTAGCCAGCACACTTGCGCTTTCATATCTCCGGCAACCACCACAATGTCTGAGCTTTTAGCTCGCCGCAGCAGAGCATTCAGGGCGTCGTAAAACCTGTCTTTGACGGTGTCAGAGCTACAATCAGTTGGGGCATAGGCAGACACGATAAACAGACATCTATCAACTTGCCGCTTGTGAGACTCCTTCACAGACGTTGCCAGACGAACCGCACAGAGGCGACTATCAACAGGTATCCACTCAAGTAA